GTTTATCCTATGTCTTTTATTAGGCACAAGATACTTTCCAAATATCTTTTCAATGGATCTTATTTAGTATTTTGTTCAACACTGTGAAGTGTATAGTCTCTCAAGTGTTTACTAGAACATGTAGTTCCTGATAGTACTTGGAAAAATAGGGCAGATGCTCAGAAGTGGGTTTTTCCTATCACTCTCCTAGTTACAAGGAAACCCTGCAATGGTTATGAATCCATCACAGTTGCTTTGGAAATCACTTTTTGGGAGCTATAAGCATTTTAAGATATCTATCCATTCATTGTGCTCTTTCCTCCCAATGAGCACTTGTGTTGTAGTAGTCTGTGTTCTTCTCTGAATCTTGCAGCATGACAAGAAACACATTAAGGTCACAAAGGTAAACTTTGTTACTTTTCACTGCTTCTGTGATTTGGATAGTTTTCCCTCTTCATGGTGAGTATTTTGGTGGTGTGGTCAGCTTATGATTTCAGTACTGATTTACTTCTTGTCTTTGACAGTATATACCTCTGCTTATTTAAAGGTAGAGACTCTCATTTGTCAGCATGTCAATCTTGGGTGCTTACTTTAAGAATGGAATTATCCTGCCTTGTATTTTTGGTATCATAGCCTTCCAGTAAACAGCGACGAGTGGTATTTCCTGATCCAGCAAACTCTGCCAGGTTTAGATCTGCAAAGCCCAGCTATGAAAAGAAAGAGAATTATATTAATAGAATATCTAGTAGGCTTCTATCACATTCTGTCATATTTTCTTTAAAATAAATATTCAGTCATGCTCTAAACAAGTTTTCTCAAAATTTGGTCCTTTGCAATTTTTGCCATTTTAACAACTCCTATTCGATTATTTGTTTTATACGTGCCTTTAAATTGGTTGGCTTTTTAATAAAAATGTATTACCTATTCTATTCTTGTCTTAAGCAAGATCTCCAATATCATAGATTTGATGTGCTAAATATTTTTTTCCGGTATACATTAAAATAAATACATTTCTGTTGTAATACAACTAATGCATATCAAACAAATAACATCACTGCAAGTAGCAGTGACACACCACACTGGGAAATACTATCCCAGCAACAATAATCATTTGCATATAAATAGAGAAAAATGATCGGAATCCCCTCTATTCTGGTTCTTGCTCTATGGAAGAGCTAACCACTGGTAACTGCACATAGTTGCAGATTAAAGTTCTCACCCTGTGCAAGTAGTAGGATGATTTAAATGAGCTACACACTTTCTTTGGTACAAACCTCTTTTATCCTCCCATCTTTCACAACATTTGCCTTGTTGATTGTCCTTATGGAAACTTTCCCTCCCTTTCTTATAGTTTTGGCTTACACTCAC